TCACGTTTGTGTCATTTGTGTCCCTCCCTTCCTCTTTTCCCCGAAGCCTTGCTAAGGCATGTTACTGTGGTACTACAATGCCTTGGCCATTTCTCGTTACCTCCATCACAAAAGGCTGTGCTGTTCTGTTTGTGCTTATAATGTACCCAGATGGTGAATAGAATGAGTGACCACCAAGCTCATTTTCACTTGTGGGGTCAGACCTTTTTCTGCTAAATAACACAAGTGTTCCCAGCTGCTGTGCAGCTGCAGGGAGTCTGCTTTCCTTCACAGGCATTAAAAACCCTTTAATCAGTGTTTGTTGTTTGTCAGCAGTGGTGTTGAGGTGTGGAGAAAAAGAACAGATATGCTTTGTTGGCAAAGTTAACTTCATTCTGACCTCTTATCTTTCCTTTTTCTTTTCAAGTCTGAAGTAGAAAACAGTTTGGGAAGTGGTTTCTGCAAGCACCTGTGTAAATGTATTTGCTAAAGGAGGAGGTTTGTGTCCTTATACAGATAGAACATTTGACATAAAAAGATGCTCTGAGAGCTGCATTGAACTGGAAACTCTTTAGGGCAGGGACTCAAACTGGCTGGAATAGGCACTGTGCAGACTCCCTTAGTGTAAATAAATGTTACATAAATACAAACACTGTCGCTTAATACTAGTGTTACTTATCTTAATATTGAGTCTATATTCAATGGATCCCATTTGCAATCTGGTCAATATTAACTTTTTTCTGTAAAATACATTATTTATTTATTATAGTTTTGGAATGGGTTTTTTTTTGTTTTGGTTTTTTTTTTGTTTTTTTTTTTTTTGTTTTTTTTAGCTGGGTTTTCTGTTTGTGGTGGTTTGTTTGTTTTCCTTTTAGTTCTACTTTTAATAGCTTTCTTCTCATGAAGGAAAAGGGAGGAGATAAAGAGCTGATAAGCTGTCTCCAATACCGTTTGCTTTGGATGTAGTCTGTTCTGAAACAAATGGGAACACAGAAATCAAGAAGAAGCTTTGAGAAATTTCAGAGCTAAGATAATTATTTTCCTCTTCTTTCTAGATGAAGCTTGGAAACCTGCTGGTGCTGCACGTTTGCAGGTTTGCTTTTTCCCTGAGTCCAGGTTTGCTCGCATTGTGTGTCTGTGTGTAGAGCACCGAGCACTGCTCTGTGAGTAGTGATTCTGTTGCTTGCAAAGTCTGTCTGTGTGTGCATCCTGAGGCTTTTGGGACATCAGGCTTTGATTTGAGCTTCGAAAGTCATCGTAGGACATTTGGCGTTAAAGGCAGAATATATACCTTGCTGCTGTTCCCCTGGAAAGACCAGAGGATCACATTCCTGTCTCGGCTGTGTGTGGGGAGGGTGGGTACCAGGCATTAGGGCACATTCCTCACAGCCCTCAGCCCAGCTCAGCAGGATCTCCAGCAGTGACCAAGGGGCTCTTATGGAGCAGGGCTGTGACCTAGGGAAAGTAGTGCCTGCTTGCTCAAAGTAGGAATTATGAAATAAAATTCAAACTGACTGTATATGGATTGTGGTCCTAGCTGTTAAAATTACAGAACCAAGGGGTCTCCCCATGGCAGACACATTTTAGCATTCATCCATTCTTTTTCTTTATGCAGCTGAAGTTGCTTACAGTGGAGGTCATGCTCTTAGACCAGCAAAATGCTAAAGGAAGACTTTTTATGCTGGGCAGGAGGAGATGTACACTCAAAACATTTAGTATATTACATGTCTGTGGGTGGTCTGTATTGACCATCCATTCTATAGTATGAATGCTTATGTGCTAGAAAGGGGACAAAGAACCACCATTTTATACCTGAATGCTGGTATATGCAGTCAGGGCTGCTGACCAAAGAGATGGTCTGTGAGCTACAGTGGAGCAGGTACCCTGCTCTGAGAGGGGGTTTTTGAACCTCCGGATCTCCTGGAGATATTGCTGGCCTTTCTGGCAGTGCGGTTTGCTTGCGTGAGAAGAGCTCTGATCAGACAGGTGTGATCCTGGATCCTTCTTGAATTTACTGCAGACTTACTCAGTTACAATCTACCTGAACAAAACAAGCACCATCTTGTGCAACTACGTAAACCATAAACTTTTTTGGGCAAGGCAGGTGTGGCATCTTCAGTCTCTGGAAAGCACCGAACATGCTGTGTGGGCGCCCTACTGTAATCCAAATTGCAAATGCTAAAAAGGCTTTTGATTTTTTTTTAATTTTTTTTTTCTAATAACGTGATTCTTGGCTTTATTTGGGTAGGCAAGAACTTCACAGACTGCATTGGGATGCTCTACATGTTTCCTCAGGCCCTCATAATTAATCAATGTCGAGTTGTTGCTCTGTCTGCAAGGAGGCAGCTGAGGAAAGCGCTTCCAGAGCCTTAGGTTTAACTTGTTTGTCAGCCCTGAGAACAACTTTCTGTTCTTTAGAATGAAGGAGGGGGGTTCTTCATGTATAAGACCCCTCTATAGTAAGTATTTTGTTACAGGCTGAAGAAGACTTGCGTTTTCATCACACAAGATGACTTTCAATAAGTTGGTAATAATATTTGATGCTGAGAACCAGTATTCCAGATCTTCTTGTTGAACAACCTCTGGCGAACTCATACCTGTGGAACTCAGCTTCTGACAAGGAATTTGCAAAAAGTTTCATGCCAGTAACTCAAGTCTCCAGTTGTGATAAATAGGAGATCTGTGTGTTCCTTCTAAACCAGAATGGTTCCTGTGTTGAACTGAAGACTTAATTGCTGCATGTGCACCATACTGTCCTATCAGGCAGCTCTGCTTTGAAAGTCTGTTTATACATACAGAAACCTGAAAAGCCTTGTGAGTCTTTCAGTGTCTGACATCACATGGTGGGAGGAGGCTTCAGCGTCTTCAGTCTGTTGCTTTTTGCTGAATGTTTACAGTCACTACCAATATTTGCATTTTGGGAGCAACAGAAAGACATTACTGTAGCCAGAGCAATTCCAAGTTGTGATAGTCCAACCACTGAAAAGAAAAAAATCTGGTCCAGCTTTACAGTGTTTTTATAGTCTAGTCCAGGTCTCTATAAACAATTTAAAATTGCCTTCAGGTTTAAATTTTCCAATTTCCCATTTGGAGCAGGTGTTGCCAGGTTATAGAATGTGTTGCAGAAAAGGAACAAAAACATTTCAAAAACACTGTGCTGTAACAAATATGTCAAGTCTGTGACAGATGAGATTTTAAAAAATGCTTGCCCCACCAAAAGTAAAATGAATGCAAACCTTGCTTACTTTTCCCGGCTATCATATTTAAATAGGGGGCTTAGTAATGCATTAGTCTTCAAAAGATCCAGCAGTAGAGTATGAAAATATGGAACTTCTCAATTGTTTTTCATTTAACTGGGGAGAAAAGATTTTTGTTTTTTTTGTAATGAAAAAACCTACCAGCAACTAAATTTCAGAGATGCATGTTCTCAGAGTGGTTAAAAACCAACCCAAACTAGGCTTCAGGCAATGTTTTTTCAACAGTTTTAACCTCAAAGCATAGAGTAGACAGCTTTGTAGGAAACTGTAACACCAAGGTGATTATGGCAGTGACTCACGCTTCCCTGTAAGGCATCCAGCTATCAGCACACTTGGAGAGCTGTGGCTTTGTGCATGCAGGCAGGGTGTCAGTCAGTGCCCATTTGCCAGCCAGCTCTGAACTGCTGAGCTCAGAACTGCTTTGACAGTGGGCTGGGATATCTGTGTGTTAGGAGAGCAGCTCTGGTGCCCCCAGGCTTGCAAGAGGCTGTAGAAATAGGAGGTAGGGATGGGGAAGTGCAAGGCAGGTTTGACTTGCCTTTTCTTTGCTTAATCCTCATTGAACTTGTTTGAGGAGTCCTCTGAAATCTTCCTGTGAGCAGGTGATTGGGTTTGGGCAATAATTAAAGGTCTGACGGACCACTAAGTGGGGTAGTATGGAAAGAGAAAAAGGCTGCTACTATCATGACTTGCCAAAAATTTCTGCAAGCAAGTAGTTATGGAAAGATGACCATCAGTTTGGATCATCAGGAAAACAATATGAATGTGGGAAAGAGACCTGGGTGTCCCTATAGGCGGTTCAGAGTAGAGTTGAGGGTACAACAGTAAACTCCTCCCGGATGTTGGGATTTGCAAGGAACAAGCAGACAAAAGATGGGGACTCATATGCGCTGTGGGTTCCCCATCACCAAAAATAAGGCAGAATGCCAAGGAAGACAGTAGGGATCATGATATGAAGAGAAGTGGTCTGGGTGAGAAGTAGGAAGGTTGGGATTATTCAAACTGTGCAAGATTGGCAAGCGATGCTGCATTTGCACAAAATGGGTTGCATCATAATGGAATGTTCAGGAAGAAGAGGTATGCAGAAAGATTACATAAATTCAAACTTCTGAAAGGAAATAGATTTTCATATAGTGTGCAATTTGACTGTGGGATGCATGGAGTGCAGTTGCCAGCTGTGCTGGCTATCATCAGGAGGGAACAAAAGGTGACTTAGGGAGTGTGCAGGTATGCTCTAGCAGGTGGTATTCAGAGATGATATAAACAATGCTTTCAAAAACATCACTGGTGATATGAAACTGGTTACATGCATGGTTCAACTACAAAGGCCAATCTTGATAGTTTATTTGTATTCCTCTGTCTTTGGTGATAAATTTTTTGTGTCTCTGACTAAAATTGTCTAGTACCAGATACTGTTTGTGGCACAGCACTGGGCAAGCTAGGCTGTTGTGACTCAGTATTACCCTTCCCGTGTGGGTTGTGTTTGGCTTTGCACATCTTACTTTTTTAGAGGTGAGGCAGAGTGAGTAATGTTTCCATTTTATTAAAAAGAATGGAATAGACCGTTAATATTTTTTAAAGATGTACGTGTTTCATTTCAAGTTCCCTTCAGGCAAAGTCAGCTTTGTTAGGCAGTTTAAAATGCATTATAGTCATATTGCTATTGTCATAAAGAAAAAAATACACCATGCTCAGTTTTGGGAAACCAAACAAAACCACTGTTTTTTTTTTTTCTCTTCTCCCTCCTTTTTTCTCTTCCTTCAGTTTTTAATAAGCGACCGTGACAGAGACCCGCAGTGTAACCTGCACTGCTCCAGGTCCCAGTCCAAAGCGCTGTGTGCCTCTGACGGCAGAACCTACGAGTCCATGTGCGACTACCAGAGAGCCAAGTGCCGTGAGCCGAGCCTGAGCGTCACACATCGTGGCCGCTGCAAAGGTACGTGCATTCCAAATGCCTCTGAGAGGAGAAATGGGGGGCCTGCCTCGTAAGAAACTGAATTCTTAGACCTCTGAGTTTAGTACCATGCTCTGAGAGTAATCTGATTTGGAATTGTGCATTCCTGCAAGCCTGGGTATCTGAGTCTCGGTTTAGGCAGTAGAGTATGAGCTGACTGAATATCAATGAAAGAAGGCAAAGGAGCCACAGACATCACTGGAAAAGGGCTGAAATATATTTCTGCAGACAGAAACAGCTGGCCCCATGGAAGTACAAAACCAAATCCTGAAAGACTTCTTCCTTGCTACCTGTGCTGATGAGGAATCAAGACACCTTTGACACTTTGACTGGCAGGAATTTGGAGTGGGGAAGAATATGATGCACACTAGATGTCTAGTCCCTTTTCAGACATACACAGCGTTTCTGTGCTGAGCTAATTAAGAAGGCAGTGCATGCAAGGCTTTACATGTTGGGGTTTTTTTCTGTTTGCTGTTACACATCTACTTAGAAGTGTGAATACTGTCCCTCAATTCAGCTCTTTGGCATAGTCTAAAGATGAAGTTGAAACTTCTTTAAAGGGTTATTGGTGTCTTGTCACACAAACGATTTGCATTTACAATGAAGTGAAAAATAAAGTGGAGTTCATTTTCTGAGACCACAGTTGGCTCAGGGGGCAGATGGCACAGGTGTTTTTGGCAGTGGATTAATATGACAGGAGAAACTCATTAAAATCCATGTGACAGAATAAAAAGAACTCTTTTAAGCCTGGAACTTGTTTATAAAGGCTTTTTTTTTTACTATTGTAAAAACGTATCTTTGTTAGAATTAATTGATATAAAGTGGAAATCTCCTTTCAGTGTATTGACAGCCTTTATAGTCTAGGTGAATTATAAGCCTGACTTCAAATATTGCTCTCTTTGAAACAGTTTCTCATTGGAAAAAATTTACTAGTATGATTTTTTTGTTAGTTTGTTTTTCACCACTACTGGGTTGGTTTATGGCAGCTTCTCCCAGAGCATAGGTTGAGGCCTTTGAATCAGGCTTCTTTCTAAATACTGGAAAACCAGAACCTTTCTTCACACAGCTTAAGAAGCACTTGGGTTGTCATTGCAAGTGATGCATTTTTGAGTATCACAATAAGAAGCAGTATGGTGACAGTCCTGTTTTTGCTTTCATTCCCTGAGCAGAGTGTCTTAGATAAGCAGCTCCATAGCTGATATTTGCATATAAACTGGCACTGTTCAGTTGCTTAAAACATGAAATCTGAAATTCGGTACATCCATATACTAAACTGTCTGTCTGTGGAAGTAGACAAAATTTGCTTCCCAAACTACATGGCCTATTGCATATTGTGATTCCAAAGTCCCCAAGAAATAACTGAGACTTTTTTTGTCTTGGGCACAGGTAAAGTGTACATTCTTTCTGCTCTCTGATACAACTGAAATGTTTAGTTGACGCTTACTTGCATTCTCTTTTCCTTTCTCCTCTTACCCTGTGGTACTATGCGGTACCTAACAGCCTGGCAGTGTTTGTAAACTGCTAGTCTTGCTTTTAACCCACTGACACTCCTGCCAATCCCTGTGAAGCAGGAATATTCTTTCAACTATCACATGCAAATTTAACCTGGTAATTTCCATATGTGCAGTTCTTTAAAGGTATTTCATTTTTCTAGCTGCATTAGGAACACGCTCTCCAGTGTATAATGATCACAGTTATTGGCAAATCCGGGCAGTTGTGAGACAGCTGTGCTGAACTACAGGCTGTTGGCTGGGTCTGTATTGTGTACTTGCAAAAAGGAAGGCATTTCCAACAGTGTTTGAGCACCCTGTACTGTAGCAGGACATTGGGTATACCCTGAACAGCCTTTACTCCTCTGCACGACAGATGCTCTACAGGAGAGCTCCCATGGAACGGTAAGGGATCCCATGGGCCATCGAGCTCAGTCACATACAGTTGTGATAGATACTGGACCCAAGAGCTTATCCTTATGGAATGAGAAATTTTAACTTGTGCTTCACTCTCTGAAGGGGGAAAAACAGCAGGCGACTAAAGTAGAAGAGAAAGTATACTGTGGACAGCAAGGCATAGTTAGTTCTGCAGCCCAGATTATCATAGGCTTCCAGTGTATATGCTGATGGCTTGAACTGTGCTTGTGCCAAGGAAAACAGAATGGTTTCCATAGTGAGAACAGAACCTTTTTGATTCAAGTTAATGCTCTGTTCTCTCTCAAGAATCTAAGGACCTTTAAAGATGAAATCTTGCCAGCCCTTTGGGAGCTATAACCCTTATTCAGCTCTCGTTTGTTGCTAGCTTCCTCATGTGCTTTTCAATGAAATTCCTTCAGTGCTAAATTATCTGAACTTCCTCCAAACCCTCGTGCATCACAAAGGGTTAAAAGTCAGAAGTAGCTTAAAATGATGAAATTATGGCATCCCTGACAAATCGAGCCTCACTGATGAGATTCTAGAGAATAGTTCCAGATGCTATAGCTGTGTCTAAAATACACAGCCAAGCAGTGCTACCTGGATCTTTTCTCGGGAGGCTGATGTTAAATAAGTTATACCTCAAAACTTTGCAGGAGCGGGGGAAGGACAAATACTTGTTAATCTTGACAGTTTGCCAAGAGTCATTTAAGCAGTGATTGTTGTACTGGTATGTATCTGTGGCTTAGAATACATTTAAATTCTGTGTTAACTGGTTGATTTCTAGGAGCTTCTTTGGCTTATTTAATTACTATGTGGGAGTGTTCTAAAAATTTTCTTTAGATTTATTAATTGGATTAATAAGTCCGCTGATACAGAGTTTGTTCTTATCACAGTCACTGTGTAGAGCGAACCTATCTGTAAGTTACTGGTGGAGACTGTAACAGGACCTTCAGCCTTTCTCCTGGGACACAGTAAATGAACACAGCTTTTGGCTAATATGCTAGAAAGGCAGGTCTTCTGACTGATGGGTTATTTGAAGATAATCTTCTCTACCTACTATTTTCATTGGACAGGAGATGGTGTTTTGAAACCACTTTGTCTGCTCACTAGATCCATGTGTTTTGTCTTCGAATTTCCTTTATTCTCGCTTGGTTGTGAGTAAGAATGTCCTTGCTTGGCAGCAGTTAGTAAAATCTAAAATGTCTCTTTCAATCACTTTGCAAATTTAGGCATTCTGAATAAATTAGGGAACTCTGGAGTAGGAACGCAATGTGGATATCAAAAAAAGGAACAAAGCGTATTGATGTGAAAAGAAGACAAGAAGGTGACCAGAAGTTGTCAGTGTGGATGGGGAAGTCATGCTTAACCAACCAGAATGCCTTCTACAGTGGGTCAGCTGGCTGGATAGATGAGGGAAGAGTAGTGGGTGTTGTCCACCTGGGCTTCAGGAAGGCTTTTCACACCCTCTCCCATGATACCCTCACAGGAAAGCTCAGGGAGTGCATGACATGTGGACAGTGAAGTGGTTTGAGAGCTGTGTGAACGCCAGATCTCAGGGGACAGCTGTGCTTGGAAGCCTGTCACTAGTGGTGTCCCTCAAGGTCCAATATTGAGTCCATTATTGTTTAATTTGTTCATCAGTGACTTGGATGAAGGGACAGATGCCTCTTAAGCAAGTTTGTTGATGATTCGAAGCTGGGAGGGCTGTGGAACTCTTCAGAGAGATCTGAGGGCTGGAGGGGTGAAGAGAGTGGAAACTTACTGAAATTCAAGAGTCCAGCAGAGGGTGACAAAGATAATGAGGGGACTGAAGCACCTCACTTGTGAGGAAACACTGAGGGGTCTGGGCCTCTTTATCCTGGAGAAGATATGACTGAGAGGGGACCTCATCAGTGCATGTAAGTGTCTTGAAAGGAAGGTGTCACAGGATGGATCCAGGTGTGCCAAGCAATAGGGCAAGAGTCAGTGGTCAGAAACTGGAACACAGGTAGTTCCATCTGAACATGAGGAAGAACATTTTTGCTGTGAAGGTAACTGAACACTGGAACAGCTGCCCAAAGAGGCTGTGCAGTCTCTTCCCCTGGAGATATCTGTAGCTGTCTCTAATCAGTCCTGAGCAGCGTGTTCCAAGAGACCCTGCGTTAGCAGGAAGTTTGGACAAGATGACCTCCTGTGGTCCTTACCAATCTGAACCATTCTCTATGGGTGAGCAAGTTTTAGATTCCAGGTGCAGGACTTGACCCAAATGAAGTGGAAAATAGTGAGGGGAGTGACTAATGATTGATGTCCTGTACAATAGGCAGGCATGTTTTTGTAGTTTGCTGGGATCCATTTTTGCCTGTTTTATGAAAATACACAGATAATTGAGTAGATGGGTATGAACCTGATGACTTCAGTGTAGCTGAACTGCTTCGTGTCTGGTGGAGACCTGGCCCGTATGAGACAGTTACCTAATGGAACTGAAAATAGTTAAAAAGCTGCTTGGATCAATTTTTGCTATTTGAACTTTGGATATGAACATAGGAGAATTAAAATTAAGTAGTTTTAATAGATTTTAGTAGTTACATTGTATTGATTTGCTGCTAGTGTTATGGGAATCCTGGAGATGTTTTACTTTGTGTTATTAGGAGAGCTTGGGTCTTTGTACTGTGATGGTGTATGGTGTCAATATTGCCTCTGCCTGTTGAAGAGAGGATGCTGGAATTCTTGGAGCCTATTCAGGAGTGCAGTGTGTATATTATGAGGGACATGGTGGTCTTGTTTGAATAAACTATTCATGGATAAGATCAGCCATGGTAACTAGCCAATGTCATTGCAAAATCCAAATTATGTGCACCTGCATTGTGCTGATTAGGCCAGGGATGTCAAAAATATCACTTGTAGTTAACAATCTCTTGGTTGCCAGCTGCCAGCTTGAGAATTAATTTTCTTTAAAAGGCAGCTTTCTGAGCTGCAGTGAATCTGTCCCAAGTTTGAAGATATTTAAAGTAAAATTCACCAGCTCTGCTTTCAAAAGCAGTTAAGCTGTTTTGGTTTTTCACCTAATGTAATGGAGGGAAAAGTGTCCAATTTAGTCTGCTTGAACCATGAAACTGGAATGCATTAATGCCATTCTGGTTTATAAACATGGTGTTTGATATTCCAGATAACATTTCTAAAAACAGGCAAGAAAGTGCTGAAACACTTGGGTAAGCAGTCAAAATGCAGAATAAGGTATATGAACCTACAATCATAAGATCAGGCTTTAGTAAAATTTGTAATGCATCTTATTTGGGGTGAGCTATTTGACAGTTACTTTTTAAACACTTGGCACTTATGTAATACTTTACATTTTCTAATTAACAAAGCAAAAATAGCAAGGTGAAGTCATTCCACTGAAATCACATGTTGATGCAAACATTATAAAAATACCAGCCTGTGGAGTGAGGAAGAGAAGGATTGACAGTCCTTTTAAAAACAAACTGGTAAATGTTGATCTTAAAGGCACTGTTTTTACTGGAACTGATCTGTGGAAGACTGACAAAAAAGATAGCAATATGCACGCACCTCTCCACCCAGCATGGCATAAAGGTGTTCCAAATCAAGGCTGTAAAAGGACTGGCATGCCCTTGGGAAATCAGTGAGGGAGGATGGGAGAAGTAATCAGTCCTGTGTGTTCATGAACAGGAGAAAAACTCTGTCTTCTCTTCAGCAGCAATTTGGGAAGAGTCACCACTTGAGCCAACGACTGAAGTGCAGAAGATGCTGCAACAGCGAAGAGCTCTTCAACACTGTGGTGTAGTGGTGGTGTGCTCCGAAGTGTGCTCTGCTGGGTGGGAGTAGAGTTCAATCTATAAAGGCCAGTCAAAATTGCCAGGCTACACATGGTGTAGCCTTAGCAGTAATGTGTTTATATTATCTTATGAAAGTAAGGGATTGATCTTGTGCATGTTTCTTTGTTCATTACACAAATTGGACAAAGAAATGGGTTAGTTTCCCTTCTGCCTGGACTTCTAATGTATTTGTACTGCAAGGAATATCACCAAATACCCAAGAAACGCTGGTTTCTACCAGCTCAGTGCTGATGCATCCAGTTTCAGTCGTGTAGTTGTGAGTGTGCCAGCACTAAAGCAGATGCTGTGTGGAAGTGCTTTATGCTTCTGTTTTATGTTCAGGAGAGGAACCAGAAATGCCTGTCTGCAGTCTTGTATCCTCATATATAGAGACTAGAAAACACTTTCAAACTTGTAGTTTGATTGTCATATAAGAAATTCACACCTGTTTATTTCCTTGCAAGTGCACATCTCCATAATCTATTCTGGTTTTTTTGGGTTTTTTTTTGCTACTTCGTTGTTTCCTATGAAGCAGAAGTTGAAAGTGTTTTCAGTCAGGCAGATATGAAACAAAGTGCAGGCACACCATCTGGTTTTGTAGTAATGTTCTCTGTCATGCCAAGCAAGATTAGATTCTTAAGCTTGAGCAGGAGATCTGCAGGTGATAGGTGTTCCAGTTAAAAGCATTGCAAGTTCTTCCTTTTCAGCTGAAAGAGTGAGCACATGTTTGGAAGGATCAGTTGGCAGGACTATCCTCCACTGGAGATGTGCAAACAAGGTCTGATCGTCTGGTCACATTGGCAAGCAGGCAAAAAGGAAATTCCATGTCAAAGCTGATGGATAACTAGAAAAAAAATATAGTGTAAATTTTATCCAAGTCTTTTTTATTCTGTAACAATTTCACTCTTTATATGGGTGCATAATGGGCCCACCTGAGATCAAAGTTCCATGTGCTTTGGTATTGTACAAACACCCAACAAACAAATTTGTCTAAAGATAGGTGACATAGGATCAGAAGTGACATTAGGTCACATGGGGGTGTGGTGACCAACTTGTAGTCACTCAGTGGTCATTGGCAGAATTGATCTAGCTGCTGTTGCTTTCTAATGCAGGGCCTAAGCAGCTGGCATCTTTGCTGTATACTATGGCTATGAATCATTCTTTTTCCAGAGAGACCAGTTTGATTTTCATAATTTCAGAAGCCTTGTGAAATCCTTCTTGGGAAGTAATGTGATATGTTTAAAATGAAACTGTGTTGACAAAAACTTAATCTCTCAAGTCATCAGATGTATAAATAAAGTACTCTGCCTGAAAGCTGTGGTCTGTCTTTATCAAAACTATTTACAGCATTGTCATTGATTTCTGTGTCTAGAGATGCCTGGATGGAAGTTACTTTTATTGCCACACAATGTGAACTCAGTCACTCTAAGAACCCAGACTGACTTTCTAATTTAGTGCTGGTATTAGTGATTCTGTTGTCAAAGTTCATGTGATTGATGAAACAGAATGTGGTCTTCAGGGATCCAGTGTGGAATTTTTTGTTAACCAATATGATTTCCATGCCTGGTAGAATGAGGATTGAAACTTGTTCACCCTGCATGGTGCTACTAAAAGATTTTGAAGTTTCTGCACTGAAAATCTTCAGTCAGTGGATTCATGGGAGAAGAAAGAAGGTGCTAGTTCTGGTGTCAGAGTGCCATGGAAACAGATGTTCACTGTTTTCCTTCTCTTTCTAGACTGAACAGCAATATTGTTAGACCTGATGTTTTAAAATATAAACACTGAGTCAATCTGGATCTCTGCAGGGCAGAACTTCCCTCTTTTTACTCATCAGTCATTAGAGTTAGACTTACCTGGGTATACTCTGTAAATGTGAGCTTGACCTAGAAGGGGTTAAGGTCATGCTACACTTTGCCATCATCTGAAATAAGAATTGAGATCTTAACCCCTTCAAACTCTGCTTGCAGAGCAATTTTTTTTCCTTGTCTCCAAAGTGAGTAACTGATACGAGAAAGTTGTAATGCACACCTGGCTGTAAGCACTAGGACTAGAGGTAAAAGCTGAGTTTCAGGAAAGCACAGGAAATAGTGTATCTGCCTCATCTGAACCACACAGAGGGAAGTTCATATGGATGACTGGATATTTTAGCATCTTCCTGGGAGAATTACTCAGAGAAGAGGGGGTTATCACTTCTTTTCCAAGTTGCTTGCTGCTTGGCCTGAATTATTTGGTGATGCTCGGCCATCCATTTTCAGGCTGTTAATGGCCTTTCATTGTGTGGACATTGTGCTCCAGTGCTGGTTGAAAGAAGCTTCCAGGATCCTTAGATGACCATAAAAATGATTGACTAGGAAATTAGGCAGCTCTTAATTAACTGGCTTGTAATTTCATTGTCTGGGTTCATATTTGTTTTTAGAGTCATGAGTGGTAATTCCATATTTACCTTGTGAATGTGCAGGTAATGGTCTTTTATGCTTTATATTTATTTGTTTTGGGGATTTTTCCCTCACAGCTGTGTGGGTCATTTGGTAGCTTTTGGAGGGGCAATGTAAGTGAGTTTTGCTTTTCTCTTTGTAGATGCTGGTCAAAGCAAGTGTCGATTAGAGCGAGCTCAAGCGCTGGAACAGGCAAAGAAGCCTCAGGAAGCAGTCTTCATCCCAGAATGCAATGAGGATGGATCTTTCATGCAGGTAAAATTTCTGTTTGCTTCATTCAGCCAGGCTTCAGGTGTCTGTGGGAGATTCAGTGTTAAGGCATGAGCCAAGTGATGATAGCAGAATGGCTGCACAATCTGACCCAGTTACTTGGGTAAAAATTTGAAAGCTGGGAACTTTGTTAACCAAATAGAAGTTTCGATTCAGTCACAATACCTTAAAAGACATACACATATGCAATAGCATCCAACTCCAGTGTAATACAGAAAAAAATGGCATTAATTTTCAGCATTGCATAGACAGAAAAACAGTTGCAGGGGAGGTCAATTTTTCCATGAAGAGGGGCTGTAAAGAGAGCTGTGGCTTACACATAGAGCAGGGTGGATGCAGCTGATTCTGCTATTACCTCTGCTTCATCTATCCCAGGGAAAAAAACAGTCTGTTCGGCCTGTTCCTTCTGCTGGTTACTTCTTGTACTATATGTCCTGTAATGATTTGGAGGACTGGCAGAGAGGAGATGAGACTGCTTTGTTTGGGATTTTGATTCCTCACTGTTCAGTTGCTGAAGTTTGCCAGAGCAGGGTAGAAATGAAGAGCAATACCTGGTTCTGTTACCACTAGCATATTGAGCAGTGTCCTAGTGCTGACTGAACTGGCTGTTAAAAATGGCTCATGCACAGTTTCCTGACACAGTTTCATGCTGTCTGCTCAGTTCTGCATGCATATAAAAAGCCAAAAACCTGCAACCCTTTGACTTCTACTTTGTGGGTTTAGGTAAATCACAGAATGTTTTTTGCCTAACCTTCCATACATTTTGTACTGCTCTAGGTACCTTCTTTCTTGGAGAAATTTTAGGATACATTGGTTGTTTGCAAGGTCTTCTGAAGGTAAAAGAAAGTCCAAAACAGAATCAATATTGTCTTAAAAAAGATGAGAACAGCAGAGAACTTTGGATTTGGTTCAAACATTTTGTGATGCCTGGGGGGATAGGAGAGGAAAGATTATTTTTGTGATAACCCACCAAAAATTTTATTCCCCTCCTCAGCCTTACCCTCCCATTATCTGGTGTGTGGGAGTGTGTTTGTTTTGTTTTTATTTTTTGATGATGATGTAGAAAAAGTTGTATTCATCCTGCAAATTCTGCATGCTTCTTTAGAGCAGCATTCTGTTTCTGTACTGTGTGGACCATCATGGTAAGGTTGGGAAAAGAGAAGATGGCTGCAGTTTCTTGCAGTTTAAATGCACTTTCAATTGTTGAAATTTGATTTTGTGTGGAGCTTCTCAAATTCTGTTGGCACTGGAGGCTAATGTTTATAAAAGCTAGCACAGTGGGCCAACATGGAACAAAGTACTCCATGTTAAACTTCATAGTTCAAGAAAAAAGGGGGAGGAAAGCAAACTTTGAAATGGCTGTTGCCTGTCCATCAACCTCTTGGAGAGGAAAGTAGGTGAAATTTTTATCCTTATAAGAGATAAGGCTGGACTGATAGTATAGTTGATAAAGCTTTGTTTCAGACAGGTTTATTTTGAAGGTTGGTACCAGTGTTTGGATTGTGGAGAAGTTGCTGGACTTTTCCTTGGCACATTCCTTAGCCAGTGTTGGTTGCCAGTTGAAGGGCAGCATGAAACTGCTTACAAAAATAGTGTGGTGTCAGTTGGCAGCCAAGTGATATTTTACATTCTTCCTCCATTCAGTTCTATCTGTGAACACTAAAGTGCTTTTGTTTTACCTGGCAAGATGAAGGAAGCCTCTGATCTCTTTGTATCTGGAATTAACTGAAATTCATATAATTCCTTGGTTCATAAAAATACCCTGTGTTCCACAGACCTCATGAACCAGCTTCATCATTTATATTGCAGCATTTAAGGTAATTGTCCCTGCATAAGATTTAAGTGAACAATAGTGTCCAAGAAAGCTAACTAGTTTCAACAGGCTTTTGAGACAAATATTTCCTTTAGCTTCTGGTCAAAAGGAATTAAATTTTGATTTTAAAAAAGATGTATAAAGACTAGAATTTTGGTGAACTCTAAACAGTTTTGCTTCCAGCAACTCATGAATAGATCTCATCTGGTGGAGGTATTTTTGATACTGCTTCTCTTGTGCAGAGAATTGAAGCTCCTGGGTTCTGCTCTACAGGGAAGCTGTGTTCTTGTGCAGTCCCTGAGGCCTTGCTGAAGTCAGCTCTGGGCTGTTGTTAGTTTATTCTGGTTCAATACCCAGAGTGTTGCTCCATCTAGACTCCAAAATCTCAGATGGGAAATCTACAACAGAACAGCATCTCTCAATGAAGTTTCTAGGAAAAATACTCACTGTGCTCTTCAACATGGAATCCCCATCCCAACGAGAGTCTAAGCAGATGCACATGTTTCAGGGTATATAAAGTTGGCTAGGGAGACTTTTTCAACAACTTCCCCCTTTCTGTGTAACTGTTACTGAAAGGGAGTTCTATGTAGAAGAAAAATTCTGATCAAAGATGCATGCATATATTTAGAATATCAAATGTCTGAATTTTTACAGCACTCATTCAAGATGTAGATGACTTGCTTTCAGGTCATCTTGCTGAGCCAAATGAACACAGTAGATATTCAGTGTCCTTGCCATCAGACTTCAAGAGTCTGATTTTTAATTTAACTAATTAATTAATTGTTGGACATTCTTGAATTTTTATAGGAATGAAAAACAAGAGCAGTACAGATGTGGGAGAATTAGATAGTAGTGACTATGTTCAGTAAAACCTGCTTGGCCTTAACTAGATTGAACTTTACTTTTGTAGTTCATCATAATTATCTTGATTAAAACTAAACTGCAATCATTCTGGGTAAACACTGAAAGTGGGGCTGTTCCTCTGAAAGCAGCTCCAGTTTGCCCTTTCCAGCTGTCAGAGCTGTAGCCAGTTGAATGCTGAATTTGGGGCTGCATGCACTGCGGAGTGCATGGGGCTGCAGGAGGAAGACCATGCTCACCTTACTTCCTCCTGCTTCCCTGCAGGGCTAGATCTACCGTAGTTAGGTGTGGCAACAAGGGTGGAAGGGAGAAGAGCCTAAAGGCAAAGACCTTAGTTTGGCTTGCATTTAAACCCTTTTGTAGACAGACATCATGCATGTCTTAAAACACTTGTAAGATCTGTCTGGTTTTCATTGCCAGTGAAATTTAGACCAAAATCAGTGTTGTCGTCAATTCTGTTGCTCAGCTGATCAGTTTTCCAGTTTTCTTATGCATGACTAGGTATAATGGGGTTTGTGTACTGCATTAAGAGGAGCTGGCACTTGTCAGTTCACTGGCTGTCTATGCAACATGTGTGCTGCTTCCCTTATTGTTGAGTATATGTATTGCAAAGATCTTATCAAATCCCCTTTTAGTGCTGCTTACGCATCTACAAATGTGACATGGATTTCCAGGATGAAGAAGTGGTGACACTTGCAGGCATGATGGGATGACTAAATGGGAAGCAGACCTGATTAATTCCTCTGGACTTGCTGTGTCTTTATATTTCAGTCTGTGTGGGGAATATTACTTCCTATAACAAAATCTCTCTACACTTAGCCCACAGTAATATAAGCAGGCAGATAAAATTTGAGTTATTCACAACATAAGAATGTTTGTTAGATACGAGTAATTTGATTAATTGTAGAAAACTGAGGTCACGTACTGTTGTGAAGAACTAACCATGACTAAAACCAGTTTGTGTTCCCAAGACTCTTGCCTTTTTGCTGGTATGCTGTATTTTCCATAAATGCCATTCCTTTTCCATGCTGCACTTAACCTGCTGTGATCTGTTCTTCGTAAACAACAGGCACTAGTGGGTAATCTGCGCACTTTCTTTTGCTGCCTAGTGCCATTGGGCTTGTTGCCATGGGCTGAGGGAGACTTGCATTCTTCATAGTTTTTCCCCAAGCAGTTTTTCAGAAAAGGTTGCTGAGATTTTAAATGGGATCTGTTTCAGACAGATTAATATGAACATGAATAATGTTAATCCTGCCTTGGGGGTGTAGTCTTGTGGGACTTTGTGGTATGTCTTGCAGTTTGCTGCCACCTTCCCCTGTCTAGTTGTGGTTTCTTTTCCTCACAAGTCTGCATAAAACTGAGGGCAAATCTTCTTGGAAAATTTCTTTGAGTTTAGGGTTCTTAAAATCTAGCTCCGGGTGCAGTTATGATGTAGTACTGAGATTTTTTTTTTTAAAGTAAGGGCATCAGTCAAACCTGTGGTCTTATGATAGGTCTGATAGTCAGCCCCTCTTAGGCTGACTATCAGAGCAGTTCTGCATTATCAGATAGCTTCCAAAGCATTGCCACATCTTGTAATATAAGTCTGCTTGGAAAGAGTGATCTCTATTGTGGTCCATACCAGTAGTTTCACTCTGCACTATGCTAATGCACATTAAAAGTTCTGTTTTTTCCCAGGTTCCCCAAACAGCCCTTTCTAAAGATGTGGGGAACCCTTTCAGCCTTCAGTGTGACATTATGATCCAAGTCTGCTCCTCTGTATTGGCTAGCGTAGCATGATGCTGGGCAGAATTACAAAGTCACTTCCTAATGCAGCAGGGTACTGTGTAGACATGTTCTTCATTCCCTACTAGATGCTGTCTGTTATTCCATTATTCAGTGTTCAGATTCCAGCAATACTAAGCTCTCAAAGAATTCACCTCTCCTTTCAGAAGAACACAGTCTATCTTGCTAGATTAAAAAAAAACTCTTTGTAAAGCGTCTGATTTTTAAATGGCAGGTAGTTCTGTTTTTTTTTTGTTTTTTTTTTTTTTTTTAATTAAAATATATCCCTTCTGTAGAAGATGGCAGCTGTAGCTTTCTGTGAGTACTGCTCTGGAGGTTTGCTACTTAAACACTTGCTTTCTTCCTGTGGCTTTCATTGTGTTTCTCATTTGTATGTTATGCTAAAGATAAACCATGAGTGGGTAAGGAGGTAAAAACTTTGCTTATTTATGGCATTTCTTCAAAGAAGTACCAGTTGAGATAGCAAAGGAACATGTTCTTAAAGAGAGAGTGGACATACTTCAGGGAGGTGACAATGTAAGGTCATTCTTAGCTTCAAAGTGTCACATTCTGTGTCAGCAGGAGAAAGCCTCTCTTGAGGACCCTTTTCCTGAACTGAACTAAAAATAACATATGTGCCAGCGTGTGTGATGGGGATGCCTTTGATCATGATTAAGATTCTTTTGCTTCAGATCATTTCTTTCCCTGGTTATGTGAATAGTGAAATTCCCATGGAGGAAGCATTTCTTGAGTAGTGCATAGGCTTGAGGGAGGTGATGCTGCATAAAGCCCTGGTGGGAACATTTGCACAACACCATTTGTGAAGAATTAAATATGAATGGAGAACAGAAAAAGTGACAAGAATTGTTTAAGGGGCTGCAGTCCCAAAGAGGCTTAAACTAATTCATAGCTCCCCTAAAATTGCCTATAAAGTTAAGGCAGCTTCTGACAATAATCAGCTGACTCCTAATGTAGCAAAAAGTATAACAAGATGCTGGGTCTAAGCATTACAGCAAGGCATGTGAACCAGAACAGAGGATCACCATGCAGGGTTGAGATAAATAGCCAGGGTTGAGATAAATCAGGCCAGTGTGCAGTTGTGTACCACTAACTTGGGTTCAGAAGACTTACCTAGCTGAGCCTCAGAGGCTTAAACAAAGGAAAGACTTGATTAAAGTATTGCTGTGTCACACTGGATTCTGCTCCCTGGGTCTGACTAGATGACCTGCTGGCTTGGAGCTATTTATTTAGCTGTTTTTACAGTGTTTACAAGGAGCACCTGGATGCAGCCAGGATTTGGAGCCTTGCCTGGTGCTGTGAGGGTAGTCAGTAGCTCTGCTGCCTGCCCTTAGCCTCAGCAGTGCCATTCAAAACCTGGATGTGTTTTTTCTTTTCTCTTAGAAGTATAGCTTTCAATACAGAGTGAATGTTCTTCCCTTCTCATCTCTGCCCTCCACTGTGGAAGGAGCCAGGAAATCCCACCTGTGATGGGATAGGAATGGATTGCTAAACATTTTAAATCTGAACAGCAGTGAGAGGCTAGTCTGAGTGCTCCTGTTGTCAGCCCAGTGCTTGTCCAAGGTTCCTTCAAGCCTCTTACTGCAAACTACCTCTTCTTGTGACTCCATGGAAACTGGTTTCAGCCATCACAGAATTGCTGCTTTGCCTCTGTTCTCTCCATCATATGTGTATGCAATTTCTCACTTCCAGTTTCTATCTGAGCAACATCCCCTTGATCCTCATTTGTTAAATAGTTATAAAGGAATGCTGCTTGCTTGTCTAGAAGCTTGCTTGTTTAGAAGATTTACTTGGGAATCAGGTTCTGGCATTGCCAGTGAGATACTGAAGAAACCCAAAGAATGGCTTATTTTCCCCCGAGGAACTTAAGATTCAGAGTTATCACCCAATGACTACTCTTTTAATGCTTACATATTGTAAGGAATTTTGAGGCCAGGTGTTTAATCATATGGCCAGTGTATTGTCAGCTGTTTGATTTCACACATTGCAATGGCAGGGTGGAATAGGGAAACTGCTGCTACACTTTTAATTTGGGGAGTGGTGATACAGAGCAATTTTTCTTGGGTTTGTCCCTCATGCTTTTCATCCTTCAGTTGAGACACAGGTAAGATGACCTATCTCTCCATGAAAAATAGGAACAGTGTCCTTCTGCATGATCAGGGATTTGGCTGCTTGCAGTGCTTTAAAATGCAATTGGATTTTTTTTTTAAATATGTAGATGTTATTTGAGAATCTGTTGAAGACCTCAAATGATTTACAGGTTTTATTTATCTGATTTCCTATTATGTAACTTAGAATACAGCTGTTGGACAGGTTCTGTCCTGTGCCTTTCCAGCAGTAACAGGCATTTTGTCGCTGCAGCTCGGTTAAATCAAGTCTACTAAGTGTACAAGATTGTATTTTAGTATATAAGATTGTATTTCCTCTGCCTCAGTGCTTAGCTTTAGAAGACTGAGAGCCAAAAACGTCAAACACACTTTCTCTAACATGTATTTTGATAGAGTCAAAATTAACTCAATAACTGAAGATTAGATCTTTGCAGTAAACATCTGTCATGACTGCACACTTACTTTCCTGATGATAAGTGTTTAAAAATCTCACTACTTTGGGAGTAGGATGAGAATGAGGTTGAATTTTGGGTTGACAATTGAAAATTTATTTCGAAATAAAAGCTCAAATGTAAGCTCAATGGAAAATTTTAAAGTAAACCCCCAAATTTTGGATATTTGCTGCCGGAGGTGCTCTGAAATAGTCGACATTTTATGTTTGTTTACACACAGTGCTTAGAAAGGGTACTGGATCAGCTGTTGCCTTTACACTTTTTTCAGTGTTATACCAGTCTTATGTAAGTGATGAAGAGTTTACTTTCCCTCCCAGTCTTTAAGCTGCAAACTCTAGGCTGCAGGCCACTGTTGTTATGACCCTGAATTGTGCTGAGACCTGGTCAGGTGTCATGCTGAAAGGTCTCAGTGTGAGGACATTCAAGGAAAAACAGCTGCACTGATTCTGGAGATTTCTGCAGTGCCCATTCTTCATGGGTAGCTATCTTTGGGATAATGGCTGCGCTTTAATTGCAGCTGTTATCTGTAGAAGGGAAGTCCTTTTGTACTGCAGTAAAACATATGGTTGTGGTTGTTGTGAAAGTGCTGAGTGCTGTCAGTCTCAGATTTTTTTTTCTTCCCTTTTTTTAATGGCAATTTCTTTCTTTTCTTAATGGCAACATGGGGGCGGGGGGAGGGGGGGGTGGAGAAGGTCATGGGATACCAGTCCAAGGAAGATTAGCATTTCTTAGCCTAGTTATTTACAAAATTACTTCACTTTTTTCATGGATGTGATGTGCTTGGCTTGCATAAATGAGTGTGTGTAATTCGTAGTTCTGCACTGAGGTGAGTTACATAACATACTTAGTTAATGCATCTATCCCGAATTTGTGTCAGTATATTTTTTCTGGACTCCTCTGCCATGTACTTTGTTTTTCTGAAGGCTTGGCTAAAGGACTATCAAGTGACTAATACTTGAGTTTTTTAAATGCTGGGTACACTGGATTTTTTTTATATAATCTAACATGGAATGGTCTTGCCCTAAAAATTTGAGACCCTATCCTGGCATTTAGCTCTATCCCTTGGTAGGACTTTTGCAATTAATGCAATGTAAAGACAGCTTCTTGTGCTGTTGGGAATGCACTCTTGTGTGTGTGTGATCAGCAAAGATAAACTCTAAACACAAATCCGAGCAGATCCATCACGTTTGTTTTGACTGTTCAGTTGATTTCATTGAGCAATAACAAATATTTCCTAACTTGATTATTGCTTATTACAGTCATAATACTTTTGAGTAATTTGGAATCAATATTGTGATATATTGAGAGAGGAAAAATTAATCTGCAAATAGCAGTGACAGTGACTGAAGTAACATGAATACATGAGATGACTGTTGATTTTGGCTACTAAAAGTGAATGCTTGAGGCAAAATGATTGATTTGCACTTTAGTAAAACCCAAGATAAACAAGTAAAACCCAAGATAAACACGACATACTGTGTTATAATTGCTCTTAGATCATGTTTTATGTGATATTCAAAGCCTTTTAAAAAAACTGTCATTAAGTCTCTGAACAAACTTTGCTACCTTAGGGCATTGAAGCCAGCTGTCAGCGAGGGGGAATGACTGGTTTTGCTCTGAAGGATCCCTAATGAGGGGACCAGCACAAACACCCCATCACTTTTCTCTTCTGTGTGAAGAGGACTGGAATTGGAAATTGGTTTCAATGAACTTGTTTGGAAAAAGAGAGAATGGACAGAATTCATTTTACATGTAAAATAAAAAGCTTCTGAAATGGTCTCATTTAATGGCTTTTTTTCTGAAATGTATTGAAGGAGCCATCTCTAGGTTATAGTAACAGGATGCACTTCTATACTATTTCAAGGTATTGATGTGCACATTTAACTCCATCTGAAAGTGTGCTGGTTAGAAAGAATTTTGGGACTGGTTAGTGTTTACACAGATGCCTGTACAATGGTAGTTTACTTTTATCTCAAAGATGTCAAAGGCATTCTGAATTTCATCCAGTTGCTGGCTACTCTGGAGGCTGAGGCAAAGGCTGTCATTAGATTTGCTAGGCTGAATGAAATTTTAGTGGTGCTGAATTAATATCTACATAGACGTTACTAAGATCAGTCTGCTAGATCAGAACTTATTTATTCTTACTTGAGGGGTTCTGTATCTGAATTCGTAATTCTGGTGTCTTTCTGTGGTGAAGGAAGGAACTGGGCAGCTCTAGATGTTCAGTTCAAAATTATAGCTTTAAAGTCAATCAGGATTAATTTTATACTGTGTACCTTTGACTCACTAGACCCTTCATCAAATGTTCTTCTGTCCATGTCAATATATGGGAGGCAAGTATGTTGGATCTTGCTCCATCTGTGTAGTTTGACATAGTAACACAATAGAGCTTAAATCTACTGGAGAAGGTTTGTTAACCAAGTCAGTATTGTGCTTTTCCAGCTGTGTTACTGAACAAAATACTTCTGAAATGCCTACAGATTCTGCTCTCAAGGAGTGGCTATGGAATTTGGGATAAGGTGGCCTTTCGATAACCCAGCTGCGATGCAGCGGGACAAGTTTTTAATAGTAAATAGTAAGTGGGATGTAGCAGAGGGTGGAATGAACTGAGACACAACTGCTGCATCTCCCAACTAAAGTGTTCTTAGATGATTACTTGTAATTTTTGCCTCCTGAATTTCAGCTACAGGAGTTGGAGTAGGAGAAATCAACTTCCTTTGGGTGTGGGGGAGGTGAGGGAAGAAAAGGTAATGATATCAAAGGTAGTCTTCTGTAAGACCATGTCGCTCTGGAGCATGTGTTTGTCATACCTCTGGGTTGGAACTTCCAATAAGATGCTGAATGATAATAAAGTGGTTGGTTATAGAGTGAGAAATGAAATGCCTGCTCTTTGTTTTATTAAACAGGTGCAGTGCCATACCTACACTGGATACTGCTGGTGTGTGACACCTGATGGAAAGCCTATTAGCGGCTCTTCTGTACAGAACAAAACTCCTGTATGTTCAGGTACTGTGGGAGTGGCTTCAGCAAATACTAACTTTATAACCAGAGGGTTGGGGTGAATGCATCCTTCTGAGGGCCCAATCTTCCAGGTTACTTGGCCAGCTTACCCCACTTAATGCTTCACTTTTGGCCTCTGGCATGTCCACCCTGCAATTAGGATACAGACACTTCTGCAAGGCTCAGTAAGAAAAAACCATTAAGGTGACAACCTGTGGCAGCCAAGGCAAGAGTCAGTGTTGCTGTGTACTCCAGCACTAAAGATTTGCTGAACAGATGGGATAACTTTTTTCCGTGAGCTATATTATAATGAAATGGTTCTTGGGCTGTATTTTATGGAACATGGAGTAATTTTTTGTGCAGAGTGATTTCAGTTAATTCCTGAAGGTGGTTCTGTGCAAAACTGTCAGTTTCTGGGGTACTGCTGTTATAATGAATTTGGGTCTTTTGGCCACGTTGCTTAGTTTAGGATCCCTGTGTTTGTGTCATGGTGTGGACAACACTGGGCTTGTGCCACAGCTCACAAGAGGGAGGTCCAGACCCAGGCTGTTACTCATGTTTATTAAGTGATGTGTTTCTGGGCACTGAGCCTGACATTACTTTGTTGCCCAGCAGTTTATTGAGACCAAAACCATAAGTTTCTTTAAAAAAGAGTAAGGTTTTTCTCTCTCCTCCATACATTTGATATGGTAGTCCATGGCTCATGTGGAATGAGGTTGGGCTCCAGATTTTCATATGGCCCTGATCAATAGTGGTCTAGTTTTGTGAGCTGTTGTGAACAGTCCTGCTGTGATGACACCACAGTAAACATAGGCAGGGTTGTTCTGTACTTTGGGGAGAATTAAAGGACAACACTGGAATTGTGCTGCCCTTCTCACTTTCCTGTCTCCCACCCCAAAAAAAATTGAAGAAGAAGGAAAAGGCAGTAAGCATAGGAGTGTGTTACAACGTTTGGTGTTGCAATGTGGCTTCATGCTCTACAATCTGCACCTCAGGGGTTTTTAGTATAGTTCTCTCACACCTTGCAGCATTTGCCCTTTAGGTTGGAGCATGACAGCAGTCAAACCTTTGGGATTTTGATTTTTTCTCATCTTATACGGTGTCCTCTTGGCTGTAGAGTGTTCTGTGGTAATAAGCAAACTTGCACTTATTACTTGTGGTAATAAGTGACTTGCATAAGGGTTTGAGTTGAGTGGGAGAGCTGTCTGAGAACCAGTGACCCAATGTACCTTGAGGAGATGCTTGGTTTTTCACAGGCATGTGGAAAGAAAAGAATTAAGACCCTATTTTATTAGTGTAAAGTGCAATCCTACAATAATTTGGCTTAAGCCTTTAGAATATGACATTATGACACCACTTCCAGTATAACATTTTGGTAGGGCATGCTTTAGACTTTTACTGATCTATTCCGTTAGTCTTGTGCTGCTTATCATGTTGCAGAAAAGTAAAGTCATGTTGTACTGTAGGACACAGATGTTAGACATCTGATGACTAATACTGTGTTTGTGCTTACTACTTGTAATCTACTTGTAATTCAGCAGTAGATCTGTGATGAACTGATTTGCAAGTGAAAGTGTCTGGGCAATAGTTTTTCAGAGTTTGTCTTGATCAGATTCTTGGGGCTGTCAGAGCTACCTTCTTTAAAGCTGACTTTTGATCTACGTTTCCTAAATGTTCAGTAATCATTGGAATTGTTTAGTAATGGTGCATGGAATAATCAGTTTCCTGTGAATAAAGCTATTTAAAAAAAAAAAAAAAAGCTGGTCACAGATTTTCATACACTTCAGTAATGGATTTATTTGAAAAGCTTTTATTACCTGTTCTAGTTTTAATAGAAAACTGTGATGAAGCACTAAAGCACAGTGCAGAACCAAGCATAGAATCGTACATACTATATAAAGATCCTACTTATAGTAAACAACCCAAGATGTGTTCTGTTCAAGTACATGCTGGATCTTAGTCAGTGTCCCATTTCAAACAGCTGGGGATGTTCAGGGGTTGGTTGAAATCCATTTTCTGCAAATTGTCCCACTTAATCCCTTTCCTCTGGAATACTGTGCTTGCATTCCCTGCACACTCTCCCCATCTGCTTTTGATTTGTTCTTCCTGACATTTGCAAATGAAAAAAGTGACTCTTACTGATCTTTCCTTCTTGCTTTTGGATTTATTCCAGGTTTCTTACTAACATGATGCTCTGTTGAGGTCTTTTAAATCACTAGATCCAGCTACTAAAGACTTCTTGTTTACCCTTATCCCAATTTAATGTCTTAATGCATAAAACTTCCCTATACTTTTCAATTTGGTTGAAGCCACAGGCTCTCTGAGTCTTAAATGGAGCTGTTGACAAGTAAAATAGATGCTTTATAGGTTGAGATATTGACTGTATTATTGTGACATCATATGCTCTGTGTGATCATGCAGCATCTAAATGGATGTCTTTTCTTCTTTTTTTTTTTCTCCCTTTAGGTTCTGTAACTGATAAACCATCGAGCCAGGGTAATTCGGGAAGGAAAGGTGAGTGGAGTCCTGTGCTTCACCAACTTTTGTAACAGCAGCTGCCCAGCCAAGTCCCTTAGATAGCTCAGAACATGGGTTCCTCACCAACTCCAAGGTACAGGGGTGGATATGCCACTAGAGCTCCCCTTTCAGGAGGAGGAATAAGATGACTGTTCTGCTCCCTGTGGAGTAGAAAAGGGTGTTCTCTGCTCTGTGCTTCTCAGCTGAGTTGAAGTACAAAAAATCTGAGCTTCCCAAAGGAGTGGATGGTCCAGAATAACCTCTGCTTGTTCACCTTGAAGTAACATACTGAGCATTTCTCAGTAAAATCCCTAGAGATTAGGAAGGCTGTCAGTATGATCTGCATTCTGGGAAACAGGAGTGCCAATGCCACGGTTGTGGCTTTGTATGCGTTGAAAGTTGGGTTTTTTTAACAGTGCATAAAACTCTCTGGCCAGCTGGAGCAGTGCTGAATTAAACCTTATCAGTGCTTGGAAACCTCACAGGCATTGATTCTCCTTCTTTACACTCCTGTCTTCAGTCCTTGCCGTTCCTGATCAAGGCATTAGATGGGTCATTGTTCTTCTCCTGTGAGTATTCATAGCTCTTCCCTGTGTCCTCTGGTTTGCATTTGCTGCAATGGTTTTGGGAGGGCTGACCACTGAAGTATACATTGAGGAGCACTCAAATATGTCTTTAGGCCTTTTTCACACCCTAATTTTCAGCCTTCCCCCCCTCCTAGCCCCAGTGGAGGAGAGTCAACTTTTGAGTTTGTCTCCGTACTCCAGGAAAGCTGTGCTGAATGCATCCTCACTTCTGCTGGTGAGGATGAATGCTCTTTCCTGGGAGAAGTTCCTGTTTTGATAACCAGAGCAGGATTTTTAGTGCTGACTCTCTAAACCAGTTATTCCTGACACTTCAGAATGAAGGAAAACACTGACTTTGGTGCCAATACTTTGAGGGACATCTTCCATGCTGGGAATGTCAATCAGGTCCTGAAAGCACTTAATGGGGATTCAGAGATGTATTTTGAGCATATCTGCTCTGCAGCCTATTGCTTGTATATAATAGCTTAAGGTAAGGAGAAGAAATATGCAAGGAAAACTACTTAGCTGAGACTGAATGCTGAAGCCTGTTTCTTATTTTAAGTAAGGATATGTCTCTTTAAACCTGTAATTATGCATTAATGTGTAATTGGCACCTGAACACATGGTTATAATTCTGTTAGTGCAATCATTGCCAGTCTAGTCTGAAGTACAAGCAAATCAAATAGCTCTTGAAATCTGCATTATTTTGGAGTTATTTGTAGGCTTTTTACCTGGGTAGTCCTCGTCTGTTCTAGAATTGAAAGCAGCTGACATTGGATTTCATGAGAAACAGGAGCAAAAGAGGAAAACGTCTGAAATTGTTTTTTCTTCCGCACTCCCTTTATTAACTGAGGGGTTGGAACATGCAAAAAGAAAACTGTAAATGGTATGAACTAATTTAAAATTTGTAATATAAATTGATTCTCCTTGGTGCTGCCTGTGGCATCCTGTTTCAAGGATGGTATGCTTGGTCATGTGGCTGCAGAAACGTCCTGTGCAGTAGCTGTCAAAGGGGAAGCGTTTCCCTTTGGGCCAGAATGCTTCAAGCAGTCATGTAAACTTTGTCTCCTGCAGTTCTGAATCTGTTCATATCTGCTAGAAACCCACACATAAGCAAGTCTGGCCCTATTCCATCATGTTAGAAAAATACTTATGAACAGCTATTTAATGGGTCTTTGAAAATCAAGAGGGCTTTTAGAAACCGTAATAATTTGGTTTAAAATTTGATGGACATAGCATTACTTTTTCATCTTGTGGTGAAAATGACTAATCTAAAAATGAATTCATCCTTCTTATCAGTTTTTTTTTTTTCCTTGCCTTAAGTTACCTTGATTCAAAATTCCTGTGTCAGGTCCTGTTGGAAGGAAGCTGGAATCAAGAACAGCCTGGCTTTCTTGAAGCAAGGTGGTTGCTGCAAGTCTGGCTTCTCTGAATACTGATGGCAAGCCAGCATGCACATAACCATTTGTTCTAGCTGAGTGTTCAGACACTTGCTGCAAAGATTGCCCTTTGCAAGGTGACAAAAGGGGCAGAATGAAGAGAGGCCCAGCAGGAACTGGGTCAGTGATGACTCTTCTGTTGCAGCAGCACAGCCTGGAAACTTCTGATATTTCTTTGGGCAACTGCCATCTGATTTGGGAACTTTTGGAATTTTCCTGTTGCACAGCAGACTCCTCTCTCTCTCCATCCCTGAGTGAGGGTCTTATAGTCAAAGAGCATATCTGGCACAGAATAGGTACTCTGAGGAAGACAAAGAATAGCTAAGACTTTCAAAAGTGATTTCTTTTTTCTCATTCATACAGGAATGTAAAATATGAGCTAATAAACTTCATGCCTTTCAAGTCTTCAGGGCAAAAGGGTGGAGGCTGCTCTGCCTTAGAAACAGTGTGGATGGGTAGGCTTATGCTGCTGGGTAATAAATGAAGACTTTACTAGCATATTAGCTCTCCTTTAGAAGAAGCAAATTAACGTTGGAAGGAGAAAAAGGCTGGTTATTGGTAATAACTCTTTCTCCACATCTTTTGCCCTCTTTTCCTTCCTGTTGAGCTCTAATTTCTGGGGCTCAGTAGGTATGTTGGAGTACCAGAAGATATGAGGTAGCACATGATTCCGCTCACAGGCTCTCTCATTACTGATGGGAAGAAAACAAAATGGCTTTATGTTCATGTGGCTTGGCATGTAGTTCCAGAAAGTGGTTCTGTGGAACTTTCTACAGAGAACAAGTAAGCATGCTGGCAAGAGGTGCTTCTTATTTCTAAATTCCATGCTCTGGTTATCCATATTTACATAGCTGCTATTGCTGTATGATGCAATGCCAGTTAATCATACAATTTGCCCCATAAGGTAATTTAAATCAAATTAAATTGGCACCAAACCTGAAACTTTAAAATAGGCCATATTGATTTGTTCTGTGTCTGAGAAGTGTTCAGTTGCTGGGAGGCAGAGCAGACCTGGGCCTGAGGAGATGGAAGTGTGTTTGCATGAGGTGGAATGGAAACCCAGGCCCTCCAGGGCATGCTTGCTTTGTGACTTTGCAGCTCAGACACTTGCCAATGTCCTTTTTGTGCTGAATTTTTCCCAGAAGTGAAGAACAAATTCCAAAGAAATGTAATTGCTCTTCTGTGAGATTAGGATATCCAGAACCTGCAGATTTCTTTTGCTCTTTGTACAGTCCTTTATCATAAGGAGCTTCTTGCATTAATTTGCTCCAGTTGTGCTTAGTTTGATGGTCCTGAGGCACTAGGAAAATGCATGCTGTCCTCTAGAGGTCTGGATCTCCCCAGTCTCTCCCACTAGGACGTTGTTAATGTTTTAAGAAGCAGTGAAAGGCATCCTTGGAGCCAACCTTACTGGATTTCTTCCCTGCCTAAAGAATGCAGAGCATTCCTTTCCAGCCGCAGGGACATTGTGCCATACTTTGAGACAAAAGAAGTAAACATGGAACAAAATAGTTTTATTTTCTTTATCTGGGAAATGTTGAGGTTTTAGCTCAGATTTAGCGTATTGCAATTAGAAGTAGTGTTTTTTTACAGTCACCAAGAAGGTTTTAAAAGTAGTCTGGTTAGGAATCAGAGGGATGTGAAAAACAACCATGTAACTGCTTATCTCTGTAAATTCACCTGGTCTTCCTTCTTAAAACTGGAAACAGAAAATTAAAAGTGAGTGAAGAGGAAATATATTGAAGTGGGGATACTGGCTCATTAGTGGTAGTTTACTGTTCTGGACACTGTATGGTACCATTTTTAAACCAACTGAATGAAGGAAATGGAAAAGGATGGATCCCAGTAATGTGGGATTTAAAGGTGATGCAACTGCAGGGTAAATTTGGGCTGGAGTACCTTTCAGTGTTGGTCATGAAGAGTCTTGAGTGATACGAACTCCCTTTGTCTTGTATAAAGTCTTTAACAGTGCAAAATGTTCCAGACCTGTTTTGACTTGTCTTGTTTCCCTATTGCAAAAGCTGACAATAGCATGTGCAATTGCCTGAACAGCTGTTGGTGAAATGTAATGCAGAAGAGCAAAGCCCAGGCTGAGCTTGTACACTCACTATCTTACAGGTAGACATGACTCTGGTATGGAGCTGCAAAAAGCTTTTTCTCTGTGAGTTTTGCAGCATGCAAGAAAACACTGAAACAGTTTAAGAAACCTAAGATGAACAACTTGAAATTCCTGCTGAGAAACCTAAGATGAGCAACTTGAAATTCCTGCCAATTAAACATGTAGAATTGGGTTCCTTTTTGTGGGTTTAACTGTCAGAAATTAGTTTAAAGGCAGGCTTTGTTGGCAGGAAAATACTGGGCTGCAATTGTGGGCAAGTTGGCCCGTTCTGTGGCTTTTTTCGTGCTTTTTTCCAAGAGTCTTACCTCTAGAAAATGCTAATGGCCCAGTTATACAGCCAACAGACTAAGCAATTTGAATCAGTAATGAGCCATTAGTGTGAGTCAGTAATTAGGCTGAGTGGTAAAGGGTGAACATTCTCCTCAGGCAAACCCAGGCAAAGGAGACTTGAGGAAAATAAGTGGAGCCACTTGTATCTGGGGACCTGGAAGCTCTGTCTGCTCGTGGTAAGAAGTCAGGTGCAGCTTGCCCTAACTCACCTGCCCTCAGCTTGCGGGGAGAGGAGCACATGATCTCAACAGGATGTCTCACAGAAGACAGATAATACCTTGACAAAAACTGTCAAATTGAAATGTGACTAAAATATCAGACTGGGACTTCGGTCTTCACCTTCTCCAGATCTTTCTGGATTCAACTCAGTATTATGTATTGAAACACAACTGTGCTGTTACACAAATCGAGCTTCAGCTGTGTCTCCAGCCTCATAAACACGGAGAAAATGCTTTGGTGTCTTTAGCAGTTAGTGGAGAATACAGCAAAGAAAGAGAAATATTGTGTGGCCTTCATCAGTAAGATGAAGTGAATACAAGTTTA